CCCAAACCCCTATTCTAATTATTGAGGTCTCTATACCCTAAACCCTTACAGCAGCCCTTAGAGTAACCCCTATAGTAACCCTTTATAGTAACCCCTATATAGTAGCCCTTTTAAGGAACAAGGAACCCTATTCGATTATTGAGGCCTCCCTTGTACTATGAATCCCTATATGGTATATGAACCTGAAAACCTTTTTGGGTTCATGTCGTCCTTAAGGTAACCTAAACCCTAAACCCTAAACCCTAACCCAAACCCAAACCCAAACCCCCGTAAAGGGCAAAGACATCCGCAACTGCTAAACCTCACCCTAAACCCTAAACCCTAAACCCTAAGCCCTAAACCTCGTTATCTTCGAGGCTCCCTGAGGAGGCCACCTCCAGCGAGCTTCGGAAGATGTGCCAAGAGCTGGAGCTCAAGGCTTCCCCGTTTTATGGTTTAGGGTTTAGGGTTTAGGGTTTAGGGTTTAGGGGCTTCGGGTTTAGGGTTTAGGGTTTAGGGTTTAGGGTTTAGGGTTTAGGGCTCAAGGGTTTAGGGCTTTAAAAGTTAAAGTTTTAAAATTTAGGGGTTTTGGGGTGTAGGGTTTGGGGGGTTTTAGGTTTTAGGATTTAGTTGTTTTGGGGTTTAGGGTTTTAGGATTTAGGGGTTTTGGGGTGTAGGGTTTGGGGGTTAAGGGCTTTAGGATTTAGGGGTTTTGGGATTTAGGGTTTGGGGTTTAGGGTTTAGAGGCCTAGACGTTTAGAGGTTTAGGATTTAGGGGTTTTGGGGTTTTGGGGTTTAGGGTTTAGGGCCCCTCTCTCTGGGTCTCATATACTACGGGGTTTTGGGTTTAGGCTCTCTGAAAGTCCCAAGAGTTGCAGAGTTTAGAGTTGATGCAAATCCGGGGGAGATGCACGCAAGGATCCCTACAATGGGCTCTCGGTAAATCGAGTTCCTAATGTGTACGCTGTGGGCGCTTGGAGTGCGTGAAGACGAGGGTTTGGTGGATCTTACTTTTTACACGGGGACCTAAATTTAATTGCCAATCATTGAGGATTGATAGTAGGGCTTTTTTGGTAGAAGGATGCGATTTGAGGCGTTCTCGACATTAGATAAAGGGGTCTAGGGTCGTGATCTTCAGGATCCTACGATTCTGGGCTGTATGAAGGTCCGCCATGTCCTGAAACTTCCAATGGCCTGGAGTCTAGACTTAGTCTGTTGGCCTTACACCACGAGAACGTGGCAACAGTGAGAATGACAGCAGGTTCAACAGGTACTGTGACGAGTAGCTCTGAACCTGTATTTGGGCGCCCTTAATCCCTTCATGTACATTTCGGTCTTTGTGCGTGGTTGCAGAATGAGGTCTTTTGGAAATAGAAGTCGTCTCGGAACTGTAATATAATATAGGGACCTTAATAGTAAGAATAGGGTTTGGGGGTATATGATACTATAAATATAATAAGGAACCCCCAAGACCCCCTTCTATAATTATTAAGGCCCCTACATTATGTTTGCGATGTTGAGGCGAGGGCTTCCGGGTTGCGGTTCCTGCTTTCGGATTCTCAGTGGGGCTCAAACATCGGAAACCCAAAGGCCTGTGGGGGCCAAGCTCGGCAACTTGAAACTACAGGACACACAAACTTCAAATTATTCCTTCTTCTGGGTTCCTGAACAGTACGCTTTTGCCCTTTTTATTTTGGGATCTCCTCATTCAAACCCAACTATAGGAAAAAGGGTACCCTTATTATTTCGGGGTCACTCAGGAACCTAGTCTTTTAGAGTTTGCGGATCTGGAATTGGCACACTCCTGGAAGTGACAGATGAACTTCTACTAGCTTCACCGACGCAGGAGCTGCCTCGTACTCGTAAGTCCCACAAAGAGCTGGGAGCACTGCAAGCTGAAACCAAAGACAACCTGTCATCAGCTTCGCAGCATCTGTAGCCCTCAAGCAGCCTACACGAAGAGAAGCGTCAAAGCTTGCAAAGCCGAAGCCCTTTAAACCGTATAAGCTTCAGGCCATGAAAGAAGCCCGCCGAATCCTTCTCAACCCATACACTACGGTTTTGTACCATCAACAGTATCACCCGAGATGCGAAAAAAAGCAGAAGACTCGTAACCCTAAAACCTCAACCCCTAAACCGATAAACCCTGAACCTCTAAACCCTAAACCCTCAACCCTAAACCCTAACCCCAACCCCTAAACCCCTAAAC